TCATGTTTTCTTCTAAAGGTACAGTAAAATCTTCATAGCTAGTTTCTTCCTTATTGGGTTCGCAAAGTACATCTGAGTTTAAAACGGCTTCTAAATCCTGGTTTTTTAGAACATCATAGGTTAATTCAAATGTTGCATACAGTATATACTTTTTACAATGAATTACTTGACTGAAAGTATCATACATAAAAATATCATCATCAGATGAACATTTTTCATTTAAATTTTCAGTATTATTATTATCAACATTTATCATGTCATCTATAAAAGCATTATCAAATGGATTATTTTCATCCAAACAATCAATATGTTTGTATAAATCCAAAGGTCTAATTTCATTAATTTCATTTATTGAATTACTCAACTCTAGAATAATATCACTCTTGAATTTTGAAAATCGAGTATCTAAATTATCAATTTGAATATTATTTGATTCATTAGGTGTGGATGTATTGGAAGTAACAAGAAACATATCAACATTATTGGTGTCCAATGGGTCCTTTTGAACATTTATATTTGGTTCGACTTGCAATTCTTTAGTTTCTTTATTATCGACTGATGATGGTTCATATTTCAAATGTAGCTTTGTATTAAGACCATATTTTTTTATCCGAGTATAAGATAAACTCTGAAAAAGAGATTCTTTGTTCAGTACAATTCTCAGACCAGATTTGTGTAAAAATTCATTCACCTTTTCATAGAATTTTGTTATGATATCTTTAACAAACATAGATAAAATCATCATAATTGGACTCTTTCGTGAAATAACATTATTAACAATCATTTTACCTATAGGCCAAATCAAATAATTTCCTGCCTCGGGAAATGTAAAATATTTTTTCAATACACAGGTTTCAACTTGAATTGATTTCAATAGTTTCTCAATATCAATTCTATTATATATATTGTTTTCTCTTAAACTCAAGCGGTCAAAGTTCAGCTTATCGCAAAGTGTCTTTTTAAAACTTTTAAAGTACACAATAATTTGATATAACAATACTTTCGTTGAACGTGGATACCTTTTCCAATTTATTTTATGCAGATTTATTTCCGAATAAATAATAATTGATAACATTCTTTTTGCTAAACTAGTTAATTGTTTAGGATGTGATAATAATTTATTTTGAAATAAATATTTTGTAACAGTTGTTTTCTGTACATCACCGGTAGAAATGACGATATCTTGATTAACTATGGCTGTTCTTTTATGTACTAAACAATTTATGAACGGTTTTACTACTGTCAAAGAATGTTTCGGAGTTTCATTTTCGATGTTATGGTCTTCACTGGAAGTACTTTTGACATGAGCTTCTTTCTCTATTGCTTCTATGGATCCATTTTTTGAATTATCTTTAGTAGTTTCTACATAATTCTTATTGTCTTTGAGAATAACAGAGTTATGAGATTGAACTTCTTTAACCAACTCAGGTATATGTTCTGTACATTTATCATCGTTAAAACCGTGATTGGAAGAACCTCCTGCTCCTGAATATTTTGTTGCACCCTCAAAATTATCGACAGAAATGTCCATATCTTCATTAACTATGACAGTTTTATCTTGTTCTAAACAATTAATGAACCCTTTTCTTAATTTGTCTTCAGTAGTTGCCATGTTATTACTATTACTGTTGGGAACAAAATGATTAGGAGATAAACCTACTTTTGCAAGTGAATGTCCTAGAATGTTATCATAGTATAAATAGTTATTGATATAGGGATTAGGAATATTTCTCAATAATTTTAATAAACTCGGTGGTGTATGATCAATATCATCAAAATCAAAGTCATCATTATTACTTATATTGAGATCTTCAGAAATTATAGTGTCAGTGTGGTTTATTTTAGTGCCATCTTGAAATTTGTTAAAATCATAATTTTCATTTGCACATTTTTCTAAATCTGCTTTATCTATGCATTGTCCAGGTTCAAGTATACCTTCATAAGCATGTTTTATGTCAGCCACTTGATTAAAACTTAGTCTATCGGCATTTATTATTTGCTTGTATTCATCAACAATCTCCAAAAAATCTTTTCTTTTTGTTGTGCCTTTGTGGTAGAGTTTTATAGAATGTACATTATTAATATAACTTTTGCAATTCGCCTTTTTTTTATATCGCATGCGAATCATTCTAGAACATTTCCTCGATATAGTGTTGAAGAAGCTACAAATTATATTAATACATAGTATTAAGAGTGGTTTCTTACGAAACCCTGTTAAACCTCTATTGTTTAGTATTAATTTTTTTAAATTCATATTACATATAGTTGTTTTGCATCTTATATGTTTAAGTAGTGTTTGTATGAATCGTCTGAACTGTTTCGAGGATAATAATGAAACTTTAGGTGTTTTTTGTAGCCATAATTCACAGAATTTTTTGTAACATAATTCAAATAAATATTTTTCAAATTCAATAAAAATTCGTTTACTTTGTTCACGTCTAGTTAAATCGTTGAAGAGCATATAATTTTTAATAGATTCAGTATACATTAAATCCAATAGCTTTGTGATTTTATTTACGGATGACTGTTTAATAAAATCTAAAACAATATCTGGCTTCAATTTTGAAAATAGTGTTTGGTTAACTGGTTTGGTAAACTTAAGTTTACGGGAGATATTAATGGAATTTCCAGTAAGATAATCCAAATCAAATGGACCTATGTATTTACTCTTGATAAGCTCCTCTTGATTACGCTCTATTTTTCTCCGTTTAGGGTATCTTTTATACAGTCCAAAGGTAGGCTCCTCTATAGTCTCTGGGAGTTTTCTAGCATACTTTTTCAATCTACTCATAATGATTGGAGGATCCAAACGTACAGACAATTTTTTGAATATATGTTTATTTTTTGTTTGTATAACTGTTTTTGTATCATACCTTGTGGAATGTTCTCCATGATTAGCAATGTTATTCTTCATTTTGCTATTAAATTTAGATCCCATTTCTGTATTTATAATAATATTTCAAACCTAGAATAAAACATCACCGTTTATAATATATTATATTCATAACTTACCTAAGATTTAAAATTAAAATATTACATAGCATCTTCATAACTTTCATTTAAGATGCAACAAATAAATAAAGAATATGGTAAATTTGTATAAGTTATAGCCTGTATTTAATCATATAAAATATTTATAAGTACCTTCAGTAATCATCAATTATGTAATCCTTCAGAAGAATATAAATACAAACAAATAACAACGATAAAAAATTACTTTTTATCTGTATTAAAAATAAAATTTTTTTTAAATGAATGAATTAAATCATAAATAAACAAATATAAATAATTTAAAATCTATAACAATATAATATTTGAAATAAAAGATACCATTAAAAAAACACACACTTCATTCACTCTACCTCATCACCAAAGAACTGACCCTCAACATATTTTGAAACATGACATTATGAACATTTTACAATTAAATACATAATAAATAAATGTCAAAATTACATCAAAGTATGTAAATCTTTATCCAGCCTCACTATAACATACAATATTTTGATTTTTCTCCAATCTAAACATAGTCCAAAAATATTAAATAGGTAATGAATTATTTTTTAAGTTTTATTTATAATTTGTATTTAATTTTGAAGTAGATTAATAACCTCAGATATTGAAGCCACAACTAAAAATTATATATATGCTTGAGGAATATACTAAACACTATTTTAATCAGCACCAAAATAAATTTCACATATTGAGTATTTTCTGTAGGTACTTACAAATTAATAAATAAAAAGTTTTTCATTTATTTCATAAAAATTATTTAATTGGATTATTTATAGTGAAGATAATTGATGACCTATTGTACATAATAAATGCTAATAAGTTGCTATAATAAGTCCTACTTTAATTGTACATTTAAAAATACAAACTTAACTAGTATTTTCATAATTTATATTTTATTCAACAATTTTTGTTGATGTATATTATTTTGCATATTTTGGTTTATTATTTTTCTATGCATAAATTCAGTCATTAATTGAACATACTATAAAATTAAATTCTTACAAATTGTAACTTACCCGTTTATAATATTATCAGCATGTTACATTGAGAATAAATTGACATTCTGAAAACAAAAATTATACATATATATATATATAGTTCAACAGTTGAGTATAAGTAAATGTTATATACTAGTTACTTAACATTTAATGTACCTATTATCTATTATTACATTGTTAATAGTTTTATATTAAGTATATTGTAGCTATAAGATCTATAACATAATCATTATAGAAAATACAAAAATTATGCATAAACCATATAGGTAAATAAGTAATTAATGAAATTTGAAATCATAAACGAATAAAAAACACAAAAAATTCACAGCTGTTCTGTAAATAAATGTCCAGTATAATGTGTAAATTCTCTTCATTAAATACCTAGGTTCTTGTAATGTATAGATAGAGTATGATTGCATAATATGTCACTTATTGATGGTAGGTACACAAAATGTGGAGAAGATAAGCCATAAGGTGATACCACTTCCCTATTTTACCATGTAACAAAAATAAATGCCAAATTGTTATGCAGTTTTAGGATGCTGGAAATATCTTAACTGAGTATGCCACTATTCGCTCGGGGACCTATTTTATTTAATGTTGTAATCCGTAAATGTGTTACTAAATATTTAAAAATAAATTGAATATCCATAATATGAAAATAAGAGTTTTAAAAGTTTCGTTGTGTGTATAAAATATTAAAATATAATCATATACTTTAAAAGTTTTAAGTACCCATGAATTATACTTTTAAAGAACAACATAATACTTGCTATTCTTGGTTTAATATCGTCCAAATTTGAAATTAAAATGTCTGTGAAAAAAAACTATATTTATATATTATTAAGATTTTTTGGTGGAATTACGAACTATATATGAGAATAGGTTAGGTTAGGTTTACAAAATAATTGTAATATTTTTTAGATTTTGATTAATTTTGTAAAAACTTAAACTTAAATATCTATAAAAAAAATATGTTAAGGATCTTAAATATTTCTTAACTGCTATTAATCTATTGTAACTTCCTATGAGGACCCAGATATTACATTTTCAAGTATTTTGAGTATTTTGACACAACGAATACAATTTTATTGAAATTTATGGAATAAACTAATGAAATTTTAAATGCTAAATTTCTATAAAATATAAATAGTTCAAAACAAGTAGATATATATTATACATTTTACCATGTATAGAAAAAGATAAAATAAATATTTGGTAGAAATTTCAAGTTACTAGAGTTATTCATTCTTTAATGACAAAAAAATAACATTTTACAAATTCATCACATTATTGAGCAGAAAAAATTGTACATCAAACGCTAATAAATGAATTTGACTTTCTGATTAATATTTTTTTTTTTTAAGGGTTCACTTCAATCAAGTATAAAATAAAACAAAACAAATAAATTATTTCAATGAATTACCTACAGGTTTTCCAAAACGATGGCTAAAGTAAAAAATTTTTTTGTTGATACCCATTATATTTATAATTGGGTTTAATTAAATAAATTGCAGGCATAAATATTGGATACAAATACATTTATAAAGTTAGTATATATTTAATACCTATTGAAATTTCAAACAAAGAATTAATTAATCTAAAACACTCATATACTATAGGTGACATAATATAAAAAATACTAATGTAAACATTCAGTGAAAATTTCATGTATCTAATGTTTTAGAGTTTCACCAATATCCAAAATCGATTTTCCCTAAAAATTCCTGTTTTCCTTAATCATTTTTTTTTTTTTTTCTGGCGCTTTTTAAAACTGCTGGGATTTATAAATTTTACCTCCCCAGTACACCAACAAGATTCACTTTCCAACCAGGAAAGCTACTGAAGTTGAAAATCGAAGCATTATCTCGAAAACTTGTGTACATACACACAAAAAATAAATAAAAATTATAACTATACATTTATAAGTAAATAAATAAATAAAAAAACATCGTAAAGTCGATACATTCATCGCTATGCACAGAATCTAAAAACAAATAAAAATCAACAGTTTGCTATGCTCCGAAATAGTTCGAAAATATTAAAAATGTTTTGAAAATGTTATGATTCAAAGAGGATACTAATATTAACATCTAACATTCTGTAACATATAATGCATCTTCGGTTATTTTTTTAAGAGTTACTCTAAAAAAATTATATCTGGTTGCTTTGCTTCTGGTTTTCGTCTAAATATGTCTGTGTTTCCTTTATTTTTATGTCGCTTAATGAAACTATTGGGAATTTTCGAATTTTGACCCCCCCCC